TTTAAGCTGATTAAATGATAGATTAATTAGCCTTCACAACTTTAGTTAAGGTATTTTATGATATGTGCCATAGAAGTACTATATTACGGGGGATACAGTTCAGTTAAATGTGATTTTTTTTTTTTTAAAAACATTTTGTCTAGTAGATTATTGTATTATTCTTAGCAGTATTTCTTAAAACAGAGAAAGACTATTACAAGGGAAAGTATTCAAACAAATTTTACTAGCAATCCAACTAAAGTATTTGTTTCTTTAGTACTGGTAGTCTGTTTTGGGGCCTGGCACATTCTAGGCAAGAGCTCTAATACTGAGCCATATTCCTAACCTTACATGAAATTTATTTTAACTCGCTGTGTTTTTAAATTTTCCTGTAGGTTTCAACAGCATGTGCCTTTCCGGGAAAGTAAACTGACTCACTATTTCCAAAGTTTTTTCAATGGCAAAGGGAAAATATGTATGATCATCAATATTAGTCAGTGTTGTTCCGCCTATGACGAAACACTCAATGTATTGAAGTTCTCAACCATTGCACAAAAGGTAAATGTATTTGGATTGCTGCTAAATTTATGAACATCTCAGAGAATATTTGCCATTTTTCCTTGAAAGAGCACATGTTTGGGTTTTGTTTTGTTTGCTTTGCCTTTTATTTTTTGAGATAGGCTCTCTGTAGTCTAGCCTGGCCTTGCGATTGCAGCATCCCCCTCCTGCCTTTGCTTCTTCAGTGTGAAATTAGAAGTTTGTGTTACTGTGCCTGGCAACGGTTCTGTGAAATAAGTAATATTTTATGTCTGCTACTCTAAACCTAGGAGATATTTGAAGATAAAATTGTAATTGTTTAACTAACTAGAATGACATAGAAAAAATTGAATGTTGTTACCAAAAGGAGTAAAATGATATTTAATGCTAAATATTAATTATAAACTTAGATTATAGATTCATGGTAATTTTGGAATGAATTGTTCACTCTGCTATTCATCTGGCTTATGAGTGATGATACAAAGAATGCAAGGAGGCATGTTGATTTGTAGATTGCATGCAAAGTAGACTTTTCTTCCTGGAAAGTTCATTTAGCAATGCTAATTTCTTTTTTTAAATGTCTTTTTGCATAGAAAGAGAGGTCACTGCTTCTGTGATCATTCACATTCTTACCCCAATATCTGACTCCCAAGTTTTTATTGATAAAGGGTAATTAGATAAATGCTACAATTTGACTAATTTTCAAAGTTGTTTTTGTTAGGTTTGGTGAGGTGGTACCTTTGACCCCAGCACTTGGGTGACAGAGGCAGGTGGCCTCTGAGTTCCAGGCAGGCTGGAGCTACACAGTGAGAACCTGTCTCAAAAAAATTACTTCCAGTTAAAAAATTCTTGCCTTTCCCTTTGTAAAAGCCACATTGGATATTTTCACAGGTGTATGTTCCAGATACTTTAAGTTCTTCTCAGGAGAAATCTTTTGGGTCCATCAAATCTTCTCAAGATGTATCATTAGACAATAATTTGGATGGTAAAATACTAAATGTAAAAAGAGCCACTGTTTCATGGGAAAATAGTCTAGAAGATGTGGTTGAAAATGAAGATTTGGTTGAGGATTTAGAAAAAACCGAAGAAACACAAAACATGGAAACTGAACTTACTGAAGAAGACATAGATAAAACGTTAGAGGAATGCAGAGTCTTCAGCAGTCACAAGAACAAGGTATGCCTTAAAAACTGCTTGGCTTAGTCCTCTGAAGTTAGGCTTCGTCCCTCTCCTCTTTGTATGTGTTTGTGATCATGTGAGTGTGTGTATGCAGGGGTCAGAGATCAATATCAGATGTGGTGTGGGGGTGGTCAGAGAACAACGTTGTGGCCTAGATTCTTTACTTCCAGGGATCTCTTGGCTTCTCATTTGGGTGCCTGGGAGTTTTAATTCAAAATGAGTATATGATGATATTTTACAAATAAGTATTTTAGTCCACCCCTCTGATTTGGATTTTGAGATAGGGTCTTGCTATGGTGCCCTGGCTGGCTTAGAGCATGCATGATTGACCACTCTGCCCTTAGAATTGCCATCATCCTCTTGCTTCTGTCTCCCATATGAAGATGTTACAGGTGCACTCAGCCACACACAGTTTTTCTTTCTAAGCTAGTGCTGGCAAATGAATTCAAGGTTTTATATGTGCTCAACATGTAGTTTGTAAGAACAGGGAAAGATTTTCTTTGTGGTCACATAACCATTTTGCAGCATTGACTTCCAAAAGAGTACAGATAACTTGTCTTGTAGAATACCTCTACTCTAGATTTATCTGGATTCTCCTCTTGTTTAAACCTGTGGTAAGTATATCTCACAGGTGAAGTTATGGATTTCCCATTACTTCATTTGAGGAAGTATGTTATATCTGGTTTCTCCATTTTTGAAAATGGCTTGCTTATTTGGTTAAGGCATAGTATTCCAGATCTCTTCTTATTCTAAAAATGTATTATTTACTGGAGTCATACCTTTAAACTATGTAAGTGTCTTGTGCCTTAATATCTTTTCATCACATGATTTTAGTATATTCTGCCAGAGTTAGTTTGCAATCTTAAGTATTAGTATTTAAAACATCTACCTTGTACTAGAGGTTCTGTTTCTTTAAAAATGATTTTTATTTTGTGTGTGTGCATGCATGCATGTGTGTTGGTTTGGAAAAGTGGGTATGTGTCACCACATGTGTAAGTCAGAAGACAACTCGTGACAGTCAGCCCTTTTCTTCCAGCATGTGGGTTCTAGAGGATGAACTCAGGCTGTCAGGCTGGTCATCAAGCAAATTTACCTGCTGAGCCATCTCCAGAAGCCATTAAAAAAGAAAAGAAAGCCTAGCATGGTGGTACATTTTGTAATCCCAGTTCTGGGGAGGAGAAGACAGATGGATCTGTGGGTTTGTTGGGTTGCCACCTTAACCTAGTAAATGAGCCCCAGGCCAATGAAAAGACCATGTATCATAAAGCAGAGTGGATAACATTTTAGCAGAAATGATACCTGTGTTGTCCAGTCATGTTCATATGCACACACATACATATGCACAACATGCTTGTGCTCACATGCAAGTATATATACATATAAACCCACTTCTCAAAGGTATTACATTTATGCAGAATTCTATGTCTACAATATTTCTCCATCATTAGTTACTATTTGATGTTTGTTCTATGAAAGTAACATAATTGATGCAACCTCTTGAATTGGCTTTTGGTTTTTTACGGTTCCTTATTACTGCCACAAAAATATACAAGGTAATTAGCATTCTTCCAGCCAGAAACCTGGGCTATGGTGAATAATTATTTTCTCACAGTTAGTTCTTGATAGAATTCATTTTCAAACATACAGTTGAGAAAATCAAGAATCGATTAATTTTGAGAGTTTAATTGTTGTTGAGAAATAAATCTCAAACCCTTAAGAATACCAGGGTGTTTTTTCTTAATGCTGCAACTTATTTTCTTGTGAATTTGTGCCTGATATGTTAATAATTAACTGCTCTAGATCATATTATCATATATGTTTTCAATCTTTTTCTTTTTACTGTACATGTACACATATGTGTATGTATGTGCGTGTGTGTATATATATATATGTGTGTGTATGTATGTATAGTAAAAAGTCTAAGAAGATAAAATTATTCAATATGTGTCTTAGAAATTTTGGAAAGTAGACATTTGTAGCAGTTTCTCTGCTCTGTACCATATTAGGGCTTCAGATTTTGACAGAACACTCTGTAGAGTATGTGTCATTATGAGTGTGTGTGTACGTGTGTGTTTGTAATATGTGTGAGGGTGAGCTTGTGCCATGGTGAGTCATATCCCTTTCCCTAATAGGACACTTTTTCTGTTTTTATATACAGTCTCACTGTATCCTAGTCTGGCCTAGAATTTACAGAGATCTGCCTACTGCTTCCTTTTGAGTACTGGGATTAAAGTTATGGATTATTACTATGCCCAGTGGATAGGACACTAACCCAGCTTTTAGCATTTCCTATAGATTGGTCCTTATGTTCCCTGCTTATGAAATGTGGTACTATCAAGCTCATGGAGTTGTGTAGATAAAGTGAAATAAAACGTAACTCTACTATAAACAGTTTTTAGTGGATAATAAATATTCAAATTTTTATAGTACATGGTTAGTTAACTAGACAGAGCTCTCTTTAAGATTTTTTTGTATAGGTTTGTTTCTAAAAGGTGGAGAGGCACACTTGATTTTCCAAGTTAAGGAATCTCTGTAGTCGTGTGATTTTCAGTAAGACTATTAGCACCATTAAAAAGGGCAGGTTTATAACTGACTGAACTATAATAGCTATCTTTAGACAGTCTCTATTTCTCTTGGACTTTACTTTTTCCAATGAAGTATGTGTGCTTATTTTAGAAACTGTTGGATTTAATAGAAGACTTGAAAAAAAGACTAATAAATGAAAAGAAGGAAAAGTTAACATTGGAATTTAAAATCCGAGAAGAAGTTACTCAGGAGTTCACTCAGTACTGGACTCAACGGGAAGCCGATTTTAAGTAAGTTACTTTTTCATGACCCGGTAAGAATTAAGATTTATCTTTTTGTCTGTTTGTTTGTTTTATAGCCATTTCTTAAGTTATGTTTTGTGACTTCTGAATGTGATGACTTCTTTAGAAAGATATTACACATGATTATTTAAATTGCTCTCTTAATAGAATTAATTTATGTTTTAAAGGGAGACACTTCTTCAGGAACGAGAGGCATTAGAAGAAAATGCTGAACGTCGCCTGGCAATCTTCAAAGATTTGGTTGGAAAATGTGACACCCAAGATGAACCAACAAATAGAATTTGTGCCATGAAAGTTGAAACTGAAGTATGTTAATGAAAATATTAAAAATAACCAGTGAAGTTTTTGGTACAAGGATTTAATATCCACATCAATTATGAGAAGTTTTAATGTTACGAAATAATAATGTTTAAAATTAAAACAGTACTACGTGGTTTTATTGTAATGAGGCATGTATTATTGGAAATTCATAGATAAATAGGTGGTGTTTTTGGGTTGTATTTCTGAGACAGGTCCTCACTATTTAGTCCAAGCTGGTTTGGAGCTCCAATCTTCCTGCCTTGGCTTCCTGAGTTCTGAGATGACAAGTGTGTGCCACCTTGTTAGACACAAACAGTTTAAAAGAGACTTTCGTTTTTTGGAAAAGGGTTTTTTTTGGCATTTGTTTCCATTTCAGTTTTTCTTGAATTGTTGTATTGCTTGTAGGCAGAGGCAGTCGTTTTTGTTTGTTGGATTACAGAATACTATTTTCAGAAATGTCTTACAATTTATCAAGAAAAATTAAAAATGTAAAGGAGCCCTTAAAGGGTTACTTACTTAATTATTCTAATCAAAACAGAAAGATTTATTTCTATATAAAAAGGTTTGCCTTTGTTATAAAGGACTGTTGTTTACCTCAAGGAAATTGATTGCTGCTCCCACTGAAGCTGATGAGGCTTTCTGGAGGGATTGTTTTGGCGTTCTTTGGGTATGTGCCTTGTTTCTGAGCCACTGGATTCAGTGGTCTGGGAGAAAGATCTCCAGGCTCTCACTGTCATCCTGTTGTGTTGTGACATGTGCATGGTTTCTAATGTGGACTTCAGCGTGAGAATGGAGGCTACTTTCTTGGGTCACTGTAAAATGCCACATAAGAGTCAAGTGTGATTCAAGGTAGACTTGAACTAGGTAATCAGAATTGTTCTGTAATAACTTACTAAGATTTATGATATATTCCTGAGGAAACAACCTTCATGTTTTATATTTTAGAAATTGAATACTGAAACACAAATTTTGTATAATTGGGAGGGTTTCATGTAATTTAAAGAATATTAAGTTGTGAATTTTTACTGTTTGTAAACTGTTTAAAGTATTACCACATGTAATGAAGTCCACTGTTAATGTTAGACATGTGGTTTTTGCTATTTTTAGGGAGCTCGTAATTATGTAGGAGTTGAAGATATTATTGATTCTCTTCAAGATGATGTCACTGATATTAAGAAACAGGCTGAACTTGCTCATTTATATATTACATCTCTTGCTGATCCCCAGGAAGCTATTGCTTGTTTGCAGCTAAAGTTTAATCAAGTTAAAGCGGAGTTAGCTCAAACTAAAGAAGAATTAATTAAAGCCCAGGAAGAGCTAAAAAATGGAGAGAGTGGTGAGTGCATGATTTTACCCTTATTTGGATTTCGTAGACACAGAAAAACTGGAGTATAGAGATGTATGCAACTTTTCTACCTTAGTGACTAGAAAATGTTTTAAGCTACGTAACAAATCTTAACATTTTTACCATTTGTATTGTGGCTTGCTACAAAAAATACATATTTATGTATGTGTGTATGTACCAGGCTAGCCTCAAAATCACAGAGATCTGCACGTCTCTGCTTCCTGAGTGTTAGGATTAAAGGTGTGTGTCACCACATCTGGCCTACAAATATTTTTTTAGGGCTGGCAGATGGCTCAGTAAAGTTGGTGCCTTGTAGTAAGTAAGCATAAAGACCTGAGTTTGATTCCCAGGCCCTGTAGAGACAGGCTTGGTGTGGTGGCATGTGTTTGTAATCCTAGTGCTGGGGATGTGGACAGAGACAGGTCCTTGGGCCTTGTGACTAACCAGCCCAGCTTAATTGATGAAAGTCTCAGATAGAGACTGTGTCAAAAAGAACAAGGTGGGCAATGATTACGGATGAACACTTGAGGCTGACTTCTGTCCTCTTCAGGTATACAGGTGTACATGGCCCACATGTGCATGTGGGTGCATTCGTGAGCATACACATGAAATAAAAACAACTAAATAGTTTTTAAACGTTTCTGTGCTTTTAGGTCAGTATATTACAGAAAACTTTTCAAAATGAGAACAAACAAACAGAAAATCAACCCAGAACTAAGAGTCTTAACTTTATAAGAAATCTTAAAGACAATTGTAAAGGAGTTAAATTTGTTCTTTTATTTTTTTTCATGGAATCTTTACATAGAATAATAGTTGGGGGTGGGATAATGTCTGTTGAATGGTTTAAAATAGTCTTTGGAACCAATATTTCATTTGATCTCTAAGGGGGAACGAACACACACACACACACACACACACACACACACACACACACACACACACGTTTGCAGCATCTATGTTTTAAGAGAGGTGAAGTGCTCTACTCTTTACTGTGAGAAAGAACAGAGGTAAAAAATAGCAAGTCAGTGATGTCTTATGGAGTGGACCAGCTAGGCACTACCTAATTGTATATGACACTACTGTGTTTCTACTGTTTAGCCTATACCCATCAGTTTGCTTGAAGGTTTGAAAGTGGCTGTTCCTGAAACATGATCTTGTAATTTAACATTAGCACTGTCAACATTCTTTTCCTGAATTTAATGTAATTTCCTAGCCTATGTTTCATTCAATGCTCTTTTTATTATCTTCACAGAATCAGACTCTTTGGTTCAAGTGCTCAAGACATCAAGTAAGGTAATGTAAGCTTTACTTTGTCTTGGTTCGAATTCAATGAGTAATGAAGGGGCATAAATTATGGCTATCTGTTTATTTAAAAAAGATTTTAAATGAAGGTGGTGCAAAGAATGCAGGTGTTGGGGCTGGAGAGATAGGCCAGTAGTTCAGAATGAACTATGTTCATTTGCCAGCACCCACATCAGATGGCCCACCACTGCTTTCAGCTCAAGTTCCAGAGGACTCAAAGCCTCTGGAAAATAGTACAATTTTCAAAGGATTAAAGGGTAAATGTATCATCTTCACCTGAACCAATTGAATATGAAATTGTATTTATGAGATGCTAAAAATCTTCAGAGATGCTAAAGATCATAGTATATAACTTCTGAAAGAAAACATCCTTGTATTAAACATATGAACAAAGCAATACATACATAATAAAAGCAAGTGCTTGAGGAAAAGAAACTTATTCTGTTTAATTTCATGTTTTGTTCCTGTGACTCAGTACCATCCAGCATTATCAATTAGCAACTTAACATATGCTGGAATCATTTCTGAAGAGGAAGCTCAGTTGAGAAAATATCCCCACTAGATTAGTCTGTGAGCAAATCTGTGAGACATTTCTTTGATTAATGATTAGTGTGGAAGGACCCATCCCATAGCAGGTAATGCCACCCCTTGGCAGGTGGTCCTATGTTGTATAAGAAATCAGGCTGAGCAAGCTATCAAGGAGCAAGCCAATAAGCAACAGTCCTGTCTTGTGTGTCTGTGTACATACTTGGGTGCACCTGTGTGTGCTAAGGTATAAATGCAGAGGTCAGAGGACAACATGCAGGAGGAGTCAGTTCTACCACTCTACCATGGGTCCCAGAGAGCGAACTCAGATTGTTAGGCTTGGTGGCAAGAGCTTGCTGAGCTATCTTGCTGGCCCTAAATTTTTTAATTTTTTTTTTTTACTTTTTAATTAAATCCTCTTTAAATTATTTTCTATTGTAGGAGTGTTAAGACAGGATAATACCATAACATGTAGAGTAAACTAATAGCCAAGAGTGTCTGCTTTCTTTAAAATGGTTTTCTAGGGGACAGAAAAGTTGGTTTAGTGGTAAAGAGTACTTGTTGCTCTCAGAGGGCTTTGGCTTGGTGCCCCACACCCACATGGCAGCTCACAACCATCCATATCTCCAGTTTCGGGAGATCTGATACTTTCTGCTGACCTTTGCCAGCATCAGTCACTCATGTGATGTACAGATGTACATGTAGTCAAAACACCTATACATATATATATATATATATATATATATATATATATGTTTTCAATGATCATAACATGCAAGAATGACATCGCAAGGTGACTGGTCAGACTTCTTTGTATCTTGACAGAAAGGTATATTCAGTGCCTGTCACCATTCCCTGGATTTTCTGAACATGAGGTGTTACTTTATTTTTAAGGCTAGAACCCAGAACCTTACACATGTTAGGCACACATTCTACCACTGAGGCACACTCCAGGCTGGGTGGCCTTTAATATTTTGATATATGGGCAAGGGTTCCTCACTCTGTATTATACCTTGTAGTTGTCTATTCTTTAAGTATTTAATATGTTACTCTGTTTTTCTGACTTTTGAGCCTGTCCTGAGGGAAATAACCCCTTTTAATAAGGTGGAAGCATAAGGATGAGAAACCCAAACTGATTTCCTTCAGGCAAAAACCACCATCTACCATCTACCAATTACCATGCTAGGTTATTGGCAATAGATTAATAAAAGTATATGTGTGTAATATTCTGTTAATATTTCATTTCAGAGCACACTTTGCTCTTTAGGTTTTGTGTGTTTGTTTTATTTATTTATTTAAAGACAAGGTCTCGCTGTGTTGACCAACTGGTCTTGAACTTGTGTACTGGAGCAGTTCTCCCACTTTCCCCTAAGTAGCTGGCAATATGACCTTTTTCCATTGCATCCGAAGCACATAATGTTTTGAGTGTGACTTTAGTGATATTTATTTCTAAGTGTTTTCTGTTGCCAGAGTCCTTAGTTATTTTAGGGTGAAACTTAAACAGTTTGCAAAGTGTTTCATCAAGTTTGAGAACAGACCAATGATGAGAATAGACTGATGAGAGGTAATATGAGCCGGGCGGTGGTGGTGCACGCCTTTAATCCCAGCACTGGGGAGGCAGAAGCAGGCGGATCTCTGAGTTCGAGGCCAGCCTGGGCTACAGAGTGAGTTCCAGGACAGGCTCCAAAGCTACACAGAGAAACCCTGTCTCAGAAAAACCACACACACACAAAAAGAGAGGTAATATGAGTAGTTCTGGTGTTTGTTGTAGGTTTTTCTTTAGAACTGATTTTAATTATTTTGTTTTAGGTTGATACATCTTTAACCAGCAATAAATCAACTTGTAATGAAGCAGTCACAATGCCCAAGAACAACAGAACCCAGACACATTCAGAAAGGAAAAGATTAAATGAAGATGTTCTTCAGCAAGATGAACCACCAGCAAAGAAAGGTATTGGCACTTCCGCTCCCTGCAGGGGTGCTTCACAAGCAGGGAATGACCTGACAAGAAAAGGCTTTGGGAAAACCTAGATACCAACCATGATTTAATCTGTTTGTTTTTTACTCTTTTATTCTTTCTGGGGCCCGACACCCAGCTCTCAAATAAATACACAGAATCTTGTTCTTATTTATGAATGCCCAGCTTTAGTTTGGCTTATTTCTAGCCAGCTTTTCTTAAATCATCCTGTCTATATTTTGCCGTTAGGCTTTATCTTTCTCTATTTCTGTATACCTTTCTTTACTTCTTACTCGGTGGCTTGCTGTGTAGCTGGTGGTTGGCCCCTGGAGTCCTCTTCTCCTCCTTTTCTTGATCCTTGGTCCCTCCTCCTAGATTCTCATTTATCCTCTCTGCCTGCCAGCCCTGCCTATCCTTTCTCCTATCTCGCTACTGCCTGTTCAACCTTTATTAGACCAATCAGGTGTTTTAGACAAGCGAATTAACACAGCTTGACAAAATTAAACAAATGCAATATAAAAGAATGCACCATATCTTTGCATCGTTAAAACAAATGTTCCACAGCATAAACAAATGTAACATCTTAAAATAATATTCCACAACACTCATCTATCAGGGAATATGTGTATGTAAAATTGTCTTTTCTTTAATCAATAAAGTTTTAGATACTGAGCTTTTATCATTCTCTGATACTTCATTCTGTCCTGTTAATTAGGTAAAAGACACAGTCATAAAAAGTTTGTGTTGTTTTTGCCAAAAACCTTTACTCGCTCTTCCTCACTTTACTTTTATTTTTGGTTTTTCAAGACAAGGTTTCTCTGTGTAGTTTTGATGCCTGTCCTACATCTCGCTCTGTAGACCAGTCTTGCCTTGACCTCACAGAGATCCGCTTGAGTGCTGGAGTGCTGGGATTAAAGGCGTTCGCCACCACCATGTGGCTACTTTACATTTTTTTATTCATTTGGACAAAAAGAGGATGCTTGACAGACTTTGAGCCAAATATTACTAACAAAACTGTACTTGAGTTGTATTTTAAAATGCTAGAAGAAAGTCTGTTGAAAAATATTGTAAATGAAACCTTTTTGTTTTGAAATACTTAAAAATGGTCAAATTTGTTTTAAAAAAAAGTGTATGGGGACAAATCCCAAGATTTTAGGGTTGCTAGGTTCTTGAGAGTAAACTGATTCTCTGAGAAATAATTAAGAAAGTATCAATTGCAATTGAAAGTATCAGTTGCAATCAATTGCAAACATAGGAAAAACTTTGAAAATAGGTTCACTGGCTTTTAAGAAAGTGGGATTAGCAGCTGGATATTGTGGTGCGTTGCTGTGATACTAGACCCGGTATGCTCAAGCCTAGGTGTGTGAACTTGAGGCCTTTCTGGGCCACATATTAAGACTGTCAGCAGAACAGCAAAGCTAAATCAAAAAGATACAGAGAGGCTGTACAGCAGGCAATACCAAAATTTTACCTCTTTTAAGTTAGAAAGAGAATATAAGTTACAAATATTTCTACTTTATTATTATTATTAAGATTTATTTATTCTTATGTGTATGAATATTCTTCCTGCACGTATGCATGTGTCTCACGTGTATGCCTGGTGCCTTTAGTGGTAAGAGGGCAATGGGTCCCCTGAAACTGCAGTTACAGGTGGTCTTGAGCCACCATTTGGGTGCTGGGAACTGAACCTGGCTCTCCCTGTAGAACTATCTACCCAGCCCCAAAAATTACAAACTTAAGATTATATAAATAATGAAAACTGTATCCCATGAGCTTTTAAATTAGACCATGTTAAATGAATAGATCTTGGTCTAATGTAATGGTATAAGAGCATATTGACCCAAATTAGTTACTTACTGCTGTGACAAGTGCCTAACTACACAGTTCCAGCCACCAGAGTTTTGACAGAGATGATAAAAAATATTCATTGGAGAAAAGACAGCTTAATTAACAAATGGTGCTGGGGAAATTATCTATGTTCATGCATAGAATGAAGGTAGATCTCTCACTTTGCACAAAAAGCAACTCCAAATGAAAAGAAAACCTTAACATCAGACCTGAAATTGAACTCTTTCTTCTGCCTTCCCAGTGGTTGGATTGCAAGAACAAGTTGCCAGGCCTGACTTTTTATGTGAGTGCTCTGGATCAAATTCTGATCCTCATACTTGCCTGACACAAGCAGTTTGTAGATTGAGTTACCTCTTTAGCTCTGTATCATATTGACTGATACAAGATCTCTCACTGGACCCTGTGGCTCATTGTATAGGTGGACTTTTTAGTTGGGACTGCCATCCAGCTTTGTTCTGTCAGCCAGCTCCCAAATAACCACACAGAGACTTAATGTTATTTATAAATGCTCAGCCAATAGCTTAGGCTTGCTACTAACTAGCTCTTACAACTTAAATTAACCCATTTCTGTTAATTTATGTGCTGCCCCTGGTCTCGTGTACCTTATCTATGAACTATGTTGCTTCTTCTGTGTCTAGCTTGAAACTCCTCAGACTGCCCTTCTTCTCAACATTCTCTCTGCCCTGAAAATCCTGCCTAGCTATCTGCCAATCAGCTTTTTATTAACAATGAGAGTAGCACATCAGAGGGATTATTCTACAACATCATTGATTAGGGTAGACTAACTAGTCAGTGAGACACAGATACTCACTTTTCTAAGCCTTCCCGATGCTGTGTTTTCATGCGTGTGCCATCAAGCCCAGCTTTTTCCCCTTGGTTCTAGGGATTGATCTTGGACCCTCTTCCTTACATGGCAAACACTTGACCAACTGAGTGTCTCATTTGAGCCTGTTAGATACTAGTCTTAGAGTAAGGGCCAGCAGAGTTATCCTTACCTAGAAATGTAGACATTGAGCCTGCAAACACATCTCGCATTCATATTTAATTAGTTGAGCCCTCTGCATTTTTCCAGATTCTATTAGTACCTGTTTTATCTTTAAAGCACAGCACTTTTGCTGATCTTTATACCTACATCACAGGAGCCATTAGCACTGATTCCTTTTTCCATCTGAGGAAATAATCAGGATTTAGCAGTTTACTCATGAGTTAGTGAAAGGTGAGGGCATATGTCCTAACTTATGTTGTTATGTGACTTCTGAGAATTTCAACCTCCTCCTATTTTTAATCTATGAAAAAATTTAATAAGTTGCTCAATTTGTAAATCACTAACATAGTAACTTGTGGTGATGTTTTATTTGTACTGAAATATGATGATACTTTATTTGTATGTTAATAAATAAAGTGTGCCTGGAGATCAAGGGGAAAAAGGCCAGCCATTTTTAAGTAAACATAGAAGTCAGGCTGTGGTAGCACATGCCTTTAATCCAGTCATGTGGCAGGCAGGGTCTCTGTGTTTTCAAGGGCACTAGGGAACAGCCAAGCTTGGTGACACACACCTTTAATTTCAGTACCAACCATAGAGACTTGGAGGTCTGTACAGACAGGCAGTGACAAGGAAGGAGGTAGCTAGGCTAAGAGCCAATGAGAGGGCAGAACAGCAAGGTAATAAAGGCATGGGTAGACAAAAAGTAACTCACCTTTTGATAGCTGCAGAACTGGAGAGGTGAGGTTGGTGGCTATCACTATTTCCCTGATCTCTAAGGCTTTCACTCCTATATTTGGCTTTACGTTTCTTATTTAATAAGACCGTTTAGAAATTTGGCTACATTTGGCATCCAACTATGGGGCAGGAATTCATAAAAAAGACACTTGGCTGTGGCCTTGCGGGCTCCAGTTCGGCTGGAGCACTCGGCCAGAGCTTCACTCGGCTGGAGCTGCAAGTGGCCGGACTGCTTGTGGGGATACAAAGCCTCTGGCTCAGGCCCCATATGGCTCAGGCCAGAAAATGTGGCTGGACTTTCTTTAGCTTTTTTCCTCCTGGTGGCTAGCAGGGTCTCTCTCTCTCTCTGTCTCTCTCTCTCTCTCTCTCTGCATTTCCATTTCAGACTGCCACCACACTAGGTAGCTGCAATTCCCTTGGACTTCTACTGTTCTACACAGACTTGGTAAGTAATTAAGATATCAGATATCTTAAAGGGAGAAACTAGTTAAACGGAAAATTTTTTTTCACATTAAAAAATGAAAAAAATATTGGTCTTTGTTTAATAACACATTAGACAGTCTAAAAATAAAACAAATGAGAGGATAATTAATGTTGATGGGATGTATGTAACATTAATTATAAATATTATTTGTTTAATTATCCTTATTTTAGTATTAAAAAATTTGGTCAATTTAAGTGCCAAGATAAAAGCTTTAAAAACCTGTTAAAATAAATTGTAAAAAAATTCAGGCTAGGTGGTGGTGGCATACCCCTTTAATCCCAGCCATCGGGAGGCAGAGCCAGGTGGATCTGTGAGTTCGAGGCCAGCCTGGTATACAGGGTGAGATCCAGTACAGGCACCTAAACTACACAGAGAAACCCTGTCTTGAAAAACAAAACAAAACAAAAAAACCAAAAAAACAAAAACAAAAAAAAATTCAGATTCAAACAAAAAAATTTAAAGGTAAAATTATTTCAAGATTAAATTATATAGTTTCAGAGAGACAGCCTGTTTTCAAACAATCAAACTTAATTTATCCGGTAGCCTTACAAGAACTCCATGCTCAAGGGCGTGTACAAGCTAATTGGACTCCAGTGAAAATATTAGATTTAAGGAGATTTGAGAAAACTATAGTATCATATGACATACATTATCCATTTGTAAAGCAAATGTTAAACTTGTGGTCAACTTGTAATAAGATTATTCCTCAGGACTAAACATGTTGGTAACAGCTGTCCTAGAATCCAGAGCACAATTAAAGTGGCTTAAGAAAGAGACTAAGATAATAAAAAAAAATGTAGAACTAGATATGTAAAAATTTCCCAGGATCAACTTTTTGGAGAAGGCAAATACTCTGATATACAAAGACAATGTTTATATGATAATCAAACCTTAATTCTATAAAACATGGCAGCCACAAATGCATGGGACAAAATTGGGGGGAAAAAAAAGATTAAATCAATCACAAAAGTTATAGGGCCCCATAAAATCCTTCACAGATTTCTTACAAAGGCTGTCTTCAACAGTAAATAAAATGATACCAAATTCAAAAGCTAGACAGATAATAATTAAATCTTTGGCTTTTAAAAATGCAAATACAACATACAAAAATATAATCAGGCCATTAAAGACAAGACTGGCACCCTTAGAGGATTAGATCAGGGACACAATTAATATTTAGTCTCATGACCATGATGCTATATGGGTAAAAAAAGTAATTTCAAAAGCTTTGAGAAAAAGATGTCAGATGTTTGGTTGTGACAAACAAGGTCATTTAAAAAGAATGTAACATGGTGTTTCTACAAAAAAAAAAAAAGTTTATTCAAGGAACAATGACAACAGAATGCTCCTCCCTTCTGGATTATACAAAAAGTGTGATTAGGGTAAACATTGGACCAACAAATGTAGATCAACAAGGGACAGACAAGGTAATCCTTTGCCTTTATCCTCAAAAAACTCCCAGAGGGGCCTCATGCAGGCTCCCACAGCAAATTCAGTTCAGACCTTTCCTGTAATCATAAAAAAAAACAAAAAACTTCTCAGAACAATTAAATAACCAAATGCCTATTAAAATAAACCAGGCTGCTCGGGATGATAAAACAGCTGTAACAGAGAAAACAAAAAATTCAAGAAAAACCATAAAGCAGTTTTTTTGCACAAACTTCTATAAATAAAGACCAAAATTAAAGTTTCAAATAAGGGGATGGCTCAGAGGTTAAGAGCAGTGGCTGTTCTTCCAGAGGACCTGAGTTAAATTCCCAGCAACTACATGATGGCTCACAACCATCTGTAATGAGATCTGGCTCCCTCTTCTGGCCTACAGGCATACATACAGGCAGAACATTGTATACATAATAAATAAATAAATCTTTAAAAAAATACAAATAAATGATGTTTTCTTGAAAGGTTTAGTAGACACGGATGCAGATGTGACAATAATTGCATCAAAATTTTGACATCCAAATTGGCCTCTTCAGGAAATAAATGTTCAGCTGTTAGGAATTAAAACATTATCTCAAGTGAAACCGAATACATGGGTGGCTCAAATGTATAGATCCAGAAGGACAGAGAGGAATATTAAAGCCGTATGTGACTAATATAGCTATAAACTTAGGGGGCCATGATCTATTACAACAATAAAATGCTCAGATTAACATTCCTGTAACCTCAAAAACAAATCATAAATTAACACGTTTCTGAGAAAAATATTAGGTGATATTATTCTAAAGAACAACCACCAGCCATCCAGATATAACAGGGCACAACAACTGCTGATCTTCCAAAGACACCAATAGCTCTACCTTTAAAATGGTTAACAGACAACCCTCTATGGGTTCAACAATGGCTTTTAACAACAGAAAAACTATAGGCTTTAAAAAAACTGATACAAGAACACTGAATACTCAACATATTAAAGAATCAACCAGCCCTTAAAATTATCTTGTATTTGTTATTTAAAAAAATTTTAGTAAGTTAAAAGTTGTAACAGACCTAAGAACAATAAACAAAATAATTCAGCCAGTGGGCTCTCTACAACCTAAAATTCCTTTGCCTACTTTGTTACCTAAAGGATGTCCTCTTATAGTTTTCGATATAAAAGACTGTTTCTTTTCAATACCCTAGGAAAAAAAAAGAAAAAAAGATTTGCATTCAAGGTGCCTATTTATAATAATTCTCAACCAGTTAAGAGATATCAATGGAGGCTTCTCCCACAGGGAATGTTAAATAGCCCAACCCTGTGCAAATATTTTGTACAACAGCCTTTGGAAGTAAAATCATTTCTTAAATCTATAATTTATCATTACATGGACAATATTTTACTAGCTAACACAAATACAGATACATAAAAAGAATTTAAAATGATAAAAAAAAATTTGCCTTGTCGGGGCTTACAAATTGCTCCTAAAAAGATATAAAAAAAGATTCTATTAATTATTTTGGATATAAAATAGGTCTACAAAAAATTAGACCCCAAAATGTACAAATTAAAAGAGATCAGTTAATGACTTAATGACTTTCAAAGGTTATTCAAAAACATTTCCCTTCTACAAACTGTTGTTGGGGTAAAAAATGATAAACTAAATAATTTGTTCCAAACCTTAAAAGGTGACAAAAACTTAAATAGTCCAAAAAAAATTATCACCTAAAACTAAAAAAAAAAAAAGAAAGGCCTTGGTTAAAAAAAAAAAAAGTACAAAAAAGACATGTAGATCATGTAAATCCAAAGCTCGATTACACTTTGGTTATCTTATCCTCTAGACATTTTTCTACAAAAATTTTAATACAAAAAAAAGATATATTAAAATCGATATTTTTACCAAATAAGCAGAATAAAAAGTTAAAAACTTACATATAAAAGATCTAACTTGATTTAAAAAAAAAATTCAAACTTTGTCAATTGACAAAAATTGACCCAACAAAAATTGTCATGCCTTTAACTAAGGAGGACATTGACAAATTATGGACAAAAAGTAAACCTTGATAAAGAGCTTACAATAATTTTTTGGGAAAGATTAACAACAACAAAAAAAAGATTTACCCAAAAGTGATAAAATTAAACTTATAAAGAAAACTGATTAGATTTTGCATCACATTGTACAAAGAACACCCATATCTAGAACTCATACATTTTATACAAATACAAACAACAGCAACAACAACAACAAAAACAGGTTAAAAATCAAAACATTTAAGTAAAATGGTTCAAAGCCTTATAATCCGGTTCAAAAATCAAAATTGTATGCTGTTCTGTTGATATTAATAGATAAATTGAAACTGCCTTTTAGGATATAGTTGGTTGCTAGAATGTCACTAATTCCCTCTCCTCTGTCCTGTCTCATAATGTTAGATAAAGGTCTGTGGAATAAAGTTAAGTAATAAATACTAGAAGTGATAAAGTAATTACTCAGAAGTAACAACCATTATTTTGTTAGACCTCTTGTCAACTCAGATTAAGTTCTGCATATTTTCTTTTAAAAGTTCTTTTCAGTTTTTCTTTAGAAGTTTGATGTTTCTAGTGTTGCAAATGCTGGTTTGTATGTAACTGTTGCTTTGTTATGTTTTGCATTAAAAGTAGTACCAATGTTCTCTTAAAGGACTTATGCTTGCCAGTCCACCCATCACTGAAGAACAAGAGAAAGGTGAAGAAATGCAGCAATCTGTTTCAGAAGGTGGGGAAGGCATTAGAGTTTTACAAGAAAAGAACGAAGAACTAAAAAGGCTTTTAATTATTGGCGAGAATGAACTCAAAAGTGAAAAGGTGGAAAAAGCAGAATTAAATGAACAGCTTGTGAGTTTGCAGCAGCAGCTTTGTGTCGCTGAAGAAAAGAACTTGACTCTGAGGACAAAGGTGGAACAAATCCAGGCCAGTTATGACAGTGCAGTTGCTGAGTTACATATGCAGAAAGCTGTGAACCAAGAGCAGGAGGAGAGGATCCTGAAATTGTCACAGGAGTTGGAAACTGCTACAAGAAGCATCACAAGCAATGTTTCACAGATAAAACTAATGCAAACAAAAATAGATGAACTGCGGTCACTTGATTCACCTTCTCATATTTCAAAAATAGATTTACTTAATCTCCAGGATCTGTCACATGGTCCTAAAGGGGATAATTTGCTGAACACATCACTACAGCTTCCAGATAATGACATGTCAAGCAAATGGGTTAAGGAATATCATATTCAAGAGCACAATAGGGAAATTTCCTTCCACTCTGTTATTGAAACCATCTGGGGAGTATGTAAAGAGATTGTGAAGACCTCTTCTGAAAAGTCTCATCAGATTCAGGGCCTGGAAGAGCAAATTGAAAAATTACAGGTAGAAGTAAAAGGCTACAGGGATGAGAACAATGAACTACGAGCAAAGGAGAGTGAGGGTATGCATCAAGATCACCAACTGAAAGAAAAAGAAAGTCTTATACAGCAACTCAGAGAAGAACTGCAAGAAAAGAGTGTTAGTCTTGGGGTTCAAGTACAGCTTGTGGCCGAAAGAGAGCAAGCTCTTTCAGAGCTTACCCAGGATGTTGCGTGCTATAAGGCAAAAATAAAGGAACTTGAAATGATGGTAGAGACCAAAAAGGATGAGTGTAGGCGCTTAGCCGAATTAGAGCAAGTCATTTTAGAGAAGGAATCTGCCATCTTAAATCTAGAAGCAAGTCTGAAGGAATTTGAAGCAAATCACCAGGATCACATCAAAAACACCAAAGATTTAAATGAAAAGGAAACCAAGTTGGAAGAAGAAATCTCCCAGTTGACAAATAACTTGCATAATATGAAACAGTCACTTCAGCTAAAGGAAGAAGAAAGAGAAGCCAGCAGACGAGAGACAGAAAAGTGAGCTAAGTTTTATTTAAACTATCTCAACTATGTAAAATACTTCACATTGTGTGTGTGTTTGTGTGTGTCTGTTGCATGTGCACATGTTTGCAGAGGTCAAAGAACAACTGTGGAAGATAGTCCCTTCCTGTAACATGTGGGCTCCAGAAATTGAACTGAGGTCATGAGGCTTGGCAGTAAGTGCCTCTATTCACTAAGTCATCTTGCAGGTTCCAGGCATTCATTTTTCTACATAATTTTGAACAGTTAGCTGGACATTATTTAATTTGGTAGAATATAGTATATATGATGAGTGAAGCTTCATAAACCTTTAGAAACAAAAGTTGTATGTAAAAAGTGATACTCCTAAGAGCCCCTCCACCCCCATGACGCCCTCTGGAGCACTCATTGCTAGTTTACACATTCTATGTTGTGAAAAGATGTAGTTCTGTAACACTTGTTACCATTTCACACAGTGATCCTAAGCAGCTAGTGGTGCCACAACGCAGATATTTTGTGATCCATTTTTCTTTTCAGATTGAAAGAGGAGCTTGCTGCTAACTCTGTTCTTACTCAGAAGCTCCAAGCAGATCTTCAGAGGAAGGAAGAAGATTATGCTGAGCTGAAAGAGAAACTCACTGATGCCAAAAAGCAGATTGAGCAGGTACAGAAGGAGGTAGGTTATATGGAAGCCCTGTGGGCAGTTTGATGTGGTAGAGATTTTTTTCTTTTAGGTTTCAAGTTTAGATGTAGATTTTAGGATTAAACTGAAATCTGTGAACTTGAATTTTTCTTAAAATGATGAACACCATTAATTTACAAAAGAAAATGCAGCTAACAAATAAACCGAAGGTTAATAATGAAGAAAATATGTGGATATCATGGCTTTGGACATGATCCTCGCCTGCTGCAGATAATAAACCTTTCTCCACTCAAAGGTTTGCGTGCATGTGTGTAAAATATATATGCTTTAGATACAAGAATAGAATCATTTCTTTAAAAAGCATAAAATTCATGTTTCTCTAAAAAAAAAGTAATTTTGTACGTAATATTTAGGGTATACAGAGTGACTTATAACAAATTTTCACTATAATTTAATTTAAATGGAATTTGGCACCTTCAATGTGTTATGGTAATAGACTAACATATTTTCAAAATAGGGAATTTAGTTACCCAGTTCAAAGGTGTAACATACAAAGAGATAATTAGGGAGGGAGAAACCCATTCCATTTCTCCTAGCCATTTTCCTTGAAGGTAGTACATGTATCTAGCTATCTTCTTGCCATCTAATTTTCCTTTGCTCTGTATTTTTCCCCCTGTATCTTCTTATGGAAATTGAAAATATTTTGCTGGGTATGGTGACATGTACATGCCTTTAATCCCAGCACTTGGGAGACAGAGGCAGGTGGATCTCTGAGTTCGAGGCCAGCCTGGTCTGCAGAGTGAATTCCATGACAGCACAGAGGAACACTGTTTTGAAGGAAAAAAAAAAAAAAAAGGAGAAAGAAACTTGAAAACATCTTAAGAACCTTCTCCCCTCCCCTCCCTTCTCCTCCCTTTTGCTTCCCTCTCCTTTCCTCAGCAGGCAAGCTGCACATCTTGACAGTTAGCTTTAGAGAAGAGAAGAGGGGAAAAAATAATACTACTAGAGTTATGCCTGCAAGGAGGAGGAAGCCACTTGCTGGGTACAAGGGACTCTAAAGAAACAGTAAGTAAGGAAGAGCAAAGTGTTAGGGAAAGCATGCTTAGAATAGAAATAGAAAAAAAAGGTGCTGAACTTTTCCACTTAGTAATGTATTTACCTTTAGCAGTATCTGTACTTTTCTGTTGTGATTAAAGGGCATGTTACCTGAAGATATGGCCATAAATTTTAAACAACAACAAAAAGTTTAAAAATGTTCAATTTGCTTCATAAATTTTGCTTTGTAGGTATCTGTAATGCGTGATGAAGAGAAATTATTGAGGATTAAAATTAATGAGCTGGAGAAAAAGAAAAACCAGTATTCTCAGGAAATAGAGATGAAACAGCGGACCATCCAGCAGCTCAAGGTAGTATTTATGTTGTTAATGGTGCTTGAAGTCCATTCTGCTGGTAGATTTTATTGCCTGATAAAATGTGTGTCTTTATTTATTTTTTACAGTACCAACATTTTGTCTTGTTTTGTTGCTTTGAGATAGGGTGTCACTTTGTACCTAGATAGACCATGACTCATCACAGGTTATTCCATCATCACTTCTCAAGTGTCAGAATTATAGGCACAAACCACCAGACCCTACTACCATATGATTGTTTGTTTTGTTTAGATTCAGACAGTCTAGCCTGATCTGTAATGATCCATCCTAAAATAGATTGTAGAGACTGTGATGAGCTGATGGGAGATTGAAGAGTGTAGTCTTGGTGACCTGACAGGTTAAAGTTAGAATTGTAATTGAGCTTTTCCCCTTAAGTCTCCTGATAGTTCTCAGACCTTACAACTGCTTTTTAGATAGAGGACTTTTATATTTTCTACATTTTGTGTTTCATAATGGGGAACCTTAACATTTTTTTTCCTGTAATTAGTATACATTATACTTTAATTGTCCCTTGTTTTTTGCATCTTATGATATGTGAGAACACGTTTCTGTAAAATACTCAGTAGGTATAACATATTAAAAGTTATAACAATCATAACTGATACTAAAAGTATAAGATTATTGTCTATATTTTTAATCAAAACAATTTACACTTGTTTATTTATGTGTGTGTGCACGTGTTTATATGACTAAATAAATGTATGGTTGCACATGTGCCATGGCACTTGTATACCCCACTGCATATGTGGAGGTCAGAGGACAGCTTGTGAGACTTTTCTTTCATTCTGTGGGTGCTAGGGCTAGAACTCAGGCTCCCTGGGCTTGGCAAGCACCCTACTCACTGACCCATCTTACTAGTTTTGTTTATTTATTTATTTAGTTATTTTTCTCAGACAGGGCCTCACTATGTCTCACTATATGGCCTTGGCTGGCTGGCCTTGAACTCACAGAGATTAAATACATGTCCCACCACACCTAGGTCTTATTAATACCTACTTGTTCACTGCTCTATAAGCTATGGTTCCTGGAAGAATGGAGCCAATGAATGAGGTGGACCAAAGTCTCATGCATTAGTGAACTTTATTCAGAGCCTCAGACAGTTTATACTCTGAGGGTTAAGAAAGGTCACATGAGAAAATTCTCATGAGTTCAAGCTGTATATAATCACAAGGACAAGCCACATTTGGCAAAACCATGTTTTTTTTCCATGGAGATATATAAAGGATAATTTAAACATTTAATTAAATAACAACAGAAGGCAATAATGAGTAATCTGAAGTAAACCCACCTGCAAGGTGCAAAAAAACACATTCCAAGAACAATTCTGTGTTTTGAAGAAACAGGTCTCAAGATTCTTGTCTTGTTTTCTTGGACTGTTTTCATAAGCACTTGACATTCTCCTCACAGGACTCCATTTCTGGACCGTGTTCCAACACCCACTATTAACTATTAAGTATTGATTTATATGTGCCTTTAATTGTATTCTTTAAATTTTTAGGAGCAGTTAAATAATCACACAATGGAAGAAGCTGTACAACAGTATGAGAGAGTATGCAAAGGTCAGAACCAAGTTCCTCTTTCTAGAATAAAATTGACTGGTAAATAGTTACAATAACAGTTAACATTTTTTCTTTAAAAATGTAGAAATGATGGTGGCCAAAGATACGTTATCAAAAATAAAAGGCATTAATTCTGCTAAATAACTTTTAAACTTAAAATTGATTATTAGAAAAGCAATAGGTAATATTCATTCAGTGCAACACTGATTTCTTGGATATGGCCAGTACTTTTTAAAAATATTTTTATTGGTTCTTTGAGAATTTCATACCATATGTTTTGATCGTGTTCACCGTTCTCCCAATTCTCAGATCCACTCCATCCTACCTTTCCTGTTCCTCCCAACTGTAACACGAATTACTAAATGATCTTATTAATAGAAAACACGGAACCAGGTATTGGGGTAAAAGCTGAAACATCAGAGAAAGAGAATAAGCCAGCCTCGTCCTTACCTCTGTGAAATCTTCAGCCTCGAGAGAGATCCTGTTTATTCACACCTTAGATACCTTTCTATGCCCTGCCATCTTACTTACTTCCTAGTGCTGGGATTAAAGGTGTGTGCCATGCCTGGCTCTGTTTCCAGTATGGCCTTGAACTCACAGAGATATGGATGGATCTCTGCCTCCTGAATGCTGGGATTAAAGGATTGTGCTACCACTGCCTGACCTCTATGTTTAACTGGGGTACACAATATATCAACACATTTCTTTTTTTTTATTTAAAATAATAAAAGAAGGTTATAACTAATATAAGAAAAACTATCTACAATAAGTACAATATGCAATATATACAGGCAATACATATATCAATAATGTCTAGTCCATTTGCATTTGACAAATTCAGTGAAAATACTTCATTATCTATCCTATTTTGGTGAGCCCAAAATGTATCTAATGTACTTTCTATCTTAACTTGTATTACCAATCAAAAACTTATCTTTTGATGTCTTTCAAACATATACATTGTATACCTCTTGAGTGAGTTTCTGTTCAGAATTTGTCAACAAGGAAAACTGTAACTATAACTATCTAATCTTCAACTCCCTTAGAGACCTGAGAAGGAAATAATATTAAGTGAGTAAGGAGGAAATGCAAACAAGCGACTTCCAAAAAATGTGAGAATTGGTAGAAACAGCTGGCTGCCTGGATAGTCCTAACCCAAGGTTCCTCTGCAACATTGGGTCATCCATCTTCGGCCTACAGGCCTAGCATATCTGACAGACTTATCTGTGAAGCAGGATTTTTTAAAGAGCCTTCCTACCTTGTCTTGGCAAGGATCAGCAGTCCTTTCTTTTGTGTCCTGCTTGTCAATTTTGGACAGCATACTGTCAGCAGTTTAGGCAAGGGCACTTTCTTGCCCAGTGACTAACTTTTGCTACAAAGAAAGTAAACTCCATATGGAGTTCCTTCGGTGCCCATTATCTTCTCTGAAGTAGATTGGTGCTGATAGGAGCAGACATAACTGATAAGTCATTAAAAAAAAAAAAAAAAGAAATAAAATCTGTGTTATTAAAACATTGTAAGTGCCATCTTCTATAGATCTCTGAAGTGTTTGAAGATGACCTGTCAATCTAAAATATATTTCTGTTTAGCCTTAGAAACATACCTAGTATGACTACAAGTTTGATTGCAATGACTATTAACTTGTATTTCTTATATCCTAATTAGTTGGTAATAATAACTTTCAAGGACTAGCAATTTACATTATATTGTTAAATGAACTGTATAGGTACAATACCTTGAACAAGATTAGAAATATGTGTACAGTGTTTTCTAACAAAATCAATCTCAACTTTGTATCAATATACATAATTTGTATATAATATACAAAAATC